GGGGGGGGGGGGGGGGGGGGGGGGGATCAACTTACAGTTGGGGCAATAAGGCCACCAAAGACAATTATTCCCCACATAACCAATAAGCTGGTTAAATATTGCTGCTTCAGCGTCTTTGCTGTCTACAAAGGAGGAAGTATAGAAATCACTCAAGTCAAATAACAATGATACAGAGTAACTAAAACACAAAACAGAGAAACAAGAAACATGGTGCATCATAAAGTTCAGGTACAATTTACCCATCATTAAAGAAAGTAAACAACCTATTAACCACAATTATAGTTAGTATGGGCTTAGAAAAATGGGTTCAGGTTTTATTCAAAACTATGCCTGCAATTTCAGCTAAATTATCTGTGATGATTGTAACAGTCACCCACTAGCTTAGCATATCATTTAGTGAAGCCAACTTATGTATGATGCCAATGTTTAGTTCAACTTCTCAATGTAATAATGACCCTGAGCTTCCTGAAGCAGGCAGAAAAAAATAGCATTCTAACTGTATACATTGTGCTCCCAACCTAAGCAGAATTCAATTAGTTTAGAGGTGGAGTAGAATATCCCGGTTGAAGTGTAATGATCATACGTCTGTAATGCATTGTATGTCTCATAATAGGTCCCATTCTTCTACCCTTTCCCGGCAGTCGATAACTATTCATAGCTATTACCTAGATACCATAGAAGAGTTTGACCCAATGCTTTATTTCTGTCCTAATTGATCCCGATTCGACATAAGATTTTTCCCCAATAACCGGAATGGAATTACTTTGACTATTGATTGACTATCGATTCATTAGTAAAAAACAAGAACTTTATGTGAGAGTCAGAAGCCCCAAAAGGAGAATTGGACTTTATTTTTTTACAGGGGAACAGGGTGGTTTTTAGGCAATTTTTTTCGACATAGATGGTCATATGTTTAAATCATTCCAACTCCACATGTTGAATTAAAAAAAAAAAAAAATTGCATACGCTTTGCAAAAGATAATTTTGCCAGTTACCACGTGGGGAAGAAAAGGGATAGATGATGGAATCTCGGGCATTTCATTCGCCTCTTCATTGTCATTCTCACCAGTAACTCTTAGAGTCTTTAGGCGTTGTTGAATTCGTAATCTTCTAACCTAACCGCCATTGACAAATAAATAGTTAGAAAATCCCTTCAAACGATCATTCTATTTCATTAGGTGATAGCTTTACAATCCAATGTCAAGGGAGAAAAATTGAAGGATCAACTTCCAATTAGGAACCTAACCTCTTCCATTAGAAGAAAAATTTTGTTACGACGACTCCTTATGTTGTCTTGGATTTCCTGGAATTGCATCTGAACAAAATCCTGAACGGTCTCCGGTCCCTCTATGATACAGAAGTTACTGAAAAACAGCAACAGAACATGGAAAACAATAAATTCCATTGTGCTCACATGGATTTCGTCTACGCAGACACCATAGAACAAACAAAACGAACTCCACAAGTACTAAACCAGTAGCTTCTTCGTTAAATTTTATTTTCAACTCTCTGCAAATTTACGGCCAACTATACTTTCCACAGTTTCCACCGAACTTCATCTCCTTGAGAACCATTAGAAAAAACAAACAAAAAGAAAAAGAAACACCAAAAACCAACCTGGGAGTGTTATCGCTATCAGCGGGAACCGAACCAGACGCGCCATCAGACGAAGAAGAGCAGATTTGCAGTGATCGTCGGAAAGTGCCTCTATAGGGTGCATTGATGGATTTACGGCACCGATAATCGAGGGATAAGAAAATTGAGGTTCTGGAATAGCGAGACGGCTTCGAATGTGAAATTGGGAGGCGAAAATGAGAGGAAGGCGCGAAAATAGAAGGCATTGACATCGAAAACAGCAAAAGATGGAAGGAAGCGAGGGTTTAAGGGAATTCTGAGGGAGAAATGGGGATTTGGGGGTTGAGAAAGGGAAGAACATGTAAGAATGGGATAGGCTAATGCGATTGCAAGGCCTTACTTGGAGAAGCGTTTGGCATTCTGCCTACCTACCGGTACCGACTTTCCATTTTTGTACCTTAGCAGAAATATAATGAGGGGATTACTATAACCAGAAATTTTGGGTTTTGGTCTTTCATTTTCTAAAACTTTGTATATTTTTTTCTTTCATGTCCAAAAATTGCTATGTTTTAATTGTTTTTGTTGGATATCTTAAAAAAAAATAAAAAAAAAATCATTAGAAAAGAAAAATCCCATACAATGGTTGAATTAATAATTTCGCTTTCGTATCTTTGGCTAATCTTAAAGGGGACTTTAATCATTCAACTTTAGGAGCAGATGTTGATGCGTCCAAACAAACCAATGGAGATAACCGTGATGATTGACTGCTAGAAGTGAGTACAATTATGATCACACTCGAAAGAAACACAAGGGACAAGTTACCTTAATTACCCATTTTTTGGATAGCTCAAACTCGAATACAATTTACTAGTAAAACTATTCAAACGACAAAGCACATCAAAAAAGAACAAACTTAATAATCAATACATTAGCCATCTTTCTTATACTTAAAAAAAAAAAATTGAATCCAACCTCACATCTTTTAGTTAAAGAGATAGGTAGAATGTAGATCCGAACTTTTAACATTTAACAACTTTGTCGAACAACGCAGTCATAGAACAAAAACCAATTTCAACCCATAAAGGTCAATTATTTCAAGTATCATAGTCTACTGAACCATTTAAGTAGGAAAATTGCCGAGGGAACCCAACACAGTGGAGAATACACACCATGCAGATTGATAGCAAGAGTGATGGAATTTGATCTGCTAACGATGTCTAACACTACAACACCATGTTTAGGCCTGCACAGAAGATGGAAAAGCAGAATCACAATCATGGAGCATAAACAGCTGAATTAAATAGGTGTTGCTTTGGTTACTACAATCTTGGTGTTGGCTGTTCGAGACGACTACTGAAGCATGTTGTTGCTGTAGCAGGACATAGTCGTTCACGAAACCGATAGAGCCTCGAGCTTGGGAAGGAGACTTCGCCATGCGTCGGCAACCCCATTTGCCAAATGTGCCTGTCCTTTTGCAAATTCATGGAAAGCAAGCCCCATGTCTAATGTTTTCTGTTCCTGAAATCGTATGATCTCTTGATTCATTAGTACCACTATTGTTTCAAATCTTTTTGTCGCTTCCTCACTTGCTGCCTTCAACTGTACAACCAAACTACTTCTAGTTAGAATACATTTTGTTTTTTGAGTAGTGACCAAATTATGTTCATGGAAGTTCATATACCTCTTTGTACTCCACCTCAGCCTCAGCCGCTTTGTCTGATCTCATTAGCACGAGTCTGTCTCTGAAAACCATTGAACTTATAAACTAAGTTTCTCATAACAAGAACGTTCAAAGATCCGAACAATCTACAACGGATTCTTAAGAAAGGGTAAAAGATAATGAAAATTGGTATGGTAAGCAGATAGAACTCCATAGAATGAATTTTAGAGGTAAATTCACAGGACGGTGAGCTATCCTGCTATTATGACAACATAAATGGAGATGAGATGTTGGAAGCATACAGATTTATCTCCTTCAGCTTTGTTGTTTCTGCAAGTTCACATTGCTGCCTGAAGGCGTTGGCTCTCTCGGCTATGGTGGCCTGTTTCAAACAAAGAAATCAAGTCTTATCAAGGACAGTTACCAAATAAACACGAACTTACGTTAATTAATTCAAACACAAATAGATAGACCAAGATGACAGTGAGAAAGAAGATATACTCCAAGACAAATCATTTCAGCCCCTGCATGAAAAAGAAATCCAAATTTTGAACTCGAACTTGTACCAACATCATGGGACATATACCAATACTTATAGTAAAAAAGTTCAACTAAACAGGTACAGTATACTAGTGTGACAAACTTGAAATCTAAATTTTGAACCCCAATTTGTACGAACAACAGGAAATAATGCCACAAATTTGGTAGTAGTCAGGACATTCAAAATCAACTCAAGGGGAGAGGGGGGGGGGGGGGGG